CTGCACAGCTGGAATCCTCCTTAGAGACAAAGATGGCGGAGCCCTGCTGGCATAGTGACTATGCTTTGGGCTGCTAGATGCAAAGTCAGGAGTTTGAAACCACCAGCCGCTCCATAAGAGAAAGATGAGGCTTTCTACTCACAAAGACTTTAAAAAAGGAAAAAGAAACAAACAAAGATGGCAAGACTTTGCCTCATGTACTTGGGGCATGCTGTCAGGAGGGACCAGTCCCGGGAGGACATTGTGTTAGTCCGGGTTCTGTAAGAAGTAAAACCAAAAAAAAAAAAGGAAGTAAAACTAGTCACACACACACACACACACACACACACACACAAACATGAGGCAGCAAGTAAGTCTGGTCCAGATGTGGGGGTTTCCTGACTCATGGGGCTGTTTGGACTGAAGACCCGGGAGGATAAAGGAGGAAGACGAAGCAGGAAGGCTACGGCTGGTAGGTCAGAGGCAGGAAACTCCAAGGTCGGCAGGCAGATGGCAGGCTCTGGTCATTCCCACCGTCGGCAGGCAATGTGGAAGGCTCAAGTCCAAATGAATGGAGGTCAACGAGCCAGATGGAGGACAGACCTCAGTAAGAAGGGAGCTAGCTTGCCCACAGCATCAACTTACATATGACATCGCACCCCCCACCCTATCCCGAGGAAACGTCATGAAGAATCTGACCCAGGAAGGGATAACACTCCACCCTCGTACGTCCACACTGCTGGCTTGCTCACGGCGGCTTCCACTGTGGAGTGGTTTCAGTGTAAGGTCCCATCATGGGGAGGCTTCAGCTGCTGGGAATCTCAGCCCAGTCAAGTGAACACAAATCTAACTATCATAGACAGCATGCTCGGTAAAGTAGCGGGGCAGCAAAATAGAGGAAGACCCTCAGCGAGGCTCCACTGACATGGTGGCTGCAACACTGGTTCAAACATAACAATTGCGAGGTCAGGGCAGGTCAGGGCAGCGTTTCAATCTCTTGTACGCACGGGTCCCTGTGAGTTGGAACTAATTGGACAACACCTAACAACAACCATCTTTTATATATATATATATGTGTGTGTGTGTATGTATCTATGTATGTATATGTATATGTATGCATGTGTATGTGTGTATAGTGTATGTGTATATATGTGTATGTGTGTATATGTATGTGTGTATGTGTATACATGTGTGTATATGTGTATATATGCATGTGTGTACATTTTGCATAGATGTATATATGTATGTGTATACGTGTATATGTGCGTGTGTGTGTGTATATATGTGTGTATATATGCATATATGTGTATATATATATGGATGGATCAAGGGGACTGACGGACAAGGGACTGACATACCTGCACTGACTCCAATGAGCAGTCTGCCCAGCATGATCATCTCGAAGGAGCCTGCTTTGTGGCTGAAGGCAAACAGGGTCCCTGCAGCCACCACGAAGATGTTGTTCACCAGGAGGGACTTCTTCCTTGGGGAAGGGGAGCACAGGGCAAGGCAGACTCAGGACCAACCCTGTGGAACCCAGAACATAATAGAATATCCAGGGGACAGGCTTGTATTGGTAGAACTTGGGCACCTGTCTACATATTTGGGGAAGAAAGAAAGAAAGAAGAAGAGGAAGAGGAAGAAGAAAAAGAATTTAAGAAGAAGGAGGAAAAAAAGATTTTCTGATACATATATCAGAAATATATTTTGAAGTAAATAAAGAAATGAAAAAGAAAATACATCTCTCTCCTTTCGTTTTAGCCGAATACATTACATCCTGGCTTTCTGGTGCTTGCCACTGACGTCCCGTTAAGTACACAAATGCAAACCCCCCTGCCATGTTGCCTCCAACCAAGGAAGTCCCACCAGGGAAAGGGCTCGTGGCATGCCTTGGGGTGTTGAAATCCCATCATCCAAAAGCAGTGTCCTTAGACGTGAGACCCCACGGGAGCAGAGTCGCCCAGCCCACTCAATAAGAAAAACGTGGGCCACCCCACTAGGCATAGAGCCCAGCCAACTGCTGCGCTGAGCAGAGACCAGAGGGAAAATGGACAACAGAAGCCCCAGCAGAACCTCCACCTGGCTTTCCGGAAATAAAATTGCTGCCCCCCTCCCACCCATTTACTTCTCCCTACCCTTTCTGCTTCTGCTACTGCAAAAACAGAAACTCAAACCTGTGCTCCTCAAGTGGATTCCAACCCGTGGAAGCCCTAAAGGGCAGAGCAGAATTGCCCCACAGGGTTTCCTGAGGCTATCTTTAAAGGAGCAGACGGATGGCCTCCTCTTTCTCTGATGGAGCACCTGGTGGGTTCGAACCGTCGGCCTTATGGTTAGTGGTGCAATGTCTAACCCACTGTGCTACCAAGGCTCCTTTCTCCTCTTATATTTAAATTTCAACGGAGTGTGTCCATTGTAGACCGTCAGGGGGAGTTACCTGCAGGGCTGCCCAAAGAACAGTCGTTATCTGGAGATCCTGCACTCAGAGAGGAGGGGCCACACCCTTAGGTTGCCCCAGGTGGCTGTGGGGTGAATACCTTGCTGAATGGGGGCTGACTGAATGCTTTCAGGTGGAACACTTGTGTAACTGAATATATGGGGCGAAGGAGTTGGGGTGGGCTGTGTGGGCAGCAAAGAGGTGGACTGTAATGACCTTTAAAAAAAAAAATTTCTACCCAACATTCACAGGTGTAGACACGTGACCCAAGCTGGACCAACCGAGGCCTGCCTTCCTGGATCCCGAATCCTGACTTTAGAAAGCAGAAGGCGGCAGACGTTAACTTGTAAGACGGAAAGTTCAGCGCTCTGGTGACCACGGATACCTTCAACACGGGCCCGTCCCTGTCCTGCTCAAGGCAGGGCTTTGAAAGGCTCCTTTTCTTGTTGTTTTGTTCAACTTCCCCCAACATCCTTCCAGTTATTACCTTTTTATATATTTTTTTATTTTACCAAGTTAGTGAGAGGCCATTTCTGTTGTCGGAACCCAAGAACTACCTTAGTTAGATTCAGGAGGAAGGAAATCATGGGGCTGGAGTAGGAGAGTTAGGGACCGTGTCAACTCTACACTCCCAGCTGGAGCCAAACCTGTCAATCAAGGTGTAGCTTGATGACCCCTCCTTCGTGTCCTAAGCCTTTTGTATACGATCCCTGCCCCTCTGCCTTCCCGCCTGCTAAAACTCTGCCTGCCTCAAGGGGTGGACCCAGGTGGGCGCCAACCTCCAAGCTGCCTGCACCATGCTGTGTTCCCACCCCTCTTGGGTCCAGAGGGGCTTATGGACTGGCGTTGGACTGGGCTGCGCTGCCTTCCTGACATATAAATACTGCTCACACATAGATCGGTGTCAGCGACTTTGTTTCTCTGGACAACCTGGCCTAACACATGCGGGATAGAGAGTTATTTGAGGTTAGCAAGAGCCTCCACCACCGAGACCGGGTGCCACACAGGAGCTGCAAGGATGGGCTCACACAGAACAACAACTGGGCGGATGGTGCCGGAATCGGGCAGTGTTTTCTTCTGCCAGGCTTGGGGTCACCCTGAGTGAGAGCGGACTCACAGCACCTAACAACAGGGTCAAGGACAGAGTCCTGGGGTGGTGCACACGGTTAACCATTTGGTCACTAACCCAAAGGTTCACGGTTTGAATCCACCCAGAGGCACTTTGGGAGAGAGCTTGGGGAGCTCCTGACTTCCAAGAGGTCGTGGCCACTGGAAACCCTGGGAAGCAGCTGCATTCTGTGCACGCGCGCCCACGCATGCACGCAGCTGGCACCAGTCCGCAAGGCTCAATGGGAGCGGGCTGGTTGGCTGGCTGGCTGGTTTTGTGAGGGTCACACAGCAGTTTGCCCGTGGTGTTCATGAATCTAGAACCCAGAAACTCTCCCTCACAGGAACTGGGCACTTTCCTCTAGAAATCCACATGGAAGTGGGAGTCACCTGCGGGACGCGCGGGGCAGAGGACGTGCAGGGCCGGGAGCCTGCTTGGGCCGCACATGTGTCTCAGTTTACACACGGACAGGGCGCCCCCACTCCCCCATGAGGACATGAAAGGGGCCACAGGAAGCACTTACCTCCCCACCATGATGGCCATGGGCCCTGCCAACAGCGACCCCACGAGGCCCCCCAGCGAGTAGAGCGAGACAGTGAGCGACCACAGCAGAAGAATCAGACGCTTGGGCATGGGATCCCCCGTGCGTGCCTGCCACGTCTCATTAGTGAACTCCTGAATGTACTGTGAGCAGAGACGCCCGTCAGGCTCCTGGGTGGGGGTCCCACAGACGGCCTCCCCCCCAACTGACCCATCCACGGCTTCTTGCAGAGGCAGGTACAAGCCAAGTGCCCACTACGTCCAGGGCCCTGGGTGGGCTTCTCCCCCACACTGGGCAACCTGTTTGGCCCCAGCCCCCCTTGCACACACCACTGGGCTCTCTTGCTAACTGGCTTTGTTTGACTCGGCCAGGGGCAGCACCAGCAGGTCAGCCAAGGTCGCAGAAGGAGAGGTCACCTTGGCTGGGTGGTGGTTTCCTATGCCCATGTCCCCCCAGCCCTTTTCTTCCGTAAGAGCTTCTCTGACCTGTCTGTCAGCAGCGGAAGGGCAATGCCAAGGCAGCCACACCTGTCCTGCCGCATTCTGCCCCCTCGCCTCAGTTCAGAGCCGCCAGCAATGAGAAGGGTGAATGCGCTCAGCCGCTCACCCAAAGGTGGGTGGTGAAGCCACCTTGAGGTCCCTCC